CCAAATTTAAATGCGTAAAAACCTAATTTTTTGACCAAAATGAAAGATTACAAAATTACAGGGACCACAGACGAGGTTTTCCCATTACCAAAATTACACAAACACCCCTCCCCAAAATGACGTTGTTCAAGGAGGGTATTTAAACCCGAAAACCGGTCTAAAAGGTCATTCTCTCTTCATTTCTCTCTTTCAACTTCTCTCTTAAGAGAGAGAAGCTCTCCCTTCTCTCTAGGATTCCCTCATCGAAGGAAATCAGTCTACCGGTCGGCCACCGTATGTCGTCACAGACAACCACCCTTTTTTACTTAATCTTAGATCCGGCCTCTTTTTTACCTAACAGTCAATAAATCGACCTAGATCTACAAGTTTACCTTCGGCACCAACAACTCTCCGATGATGAGTGGAGGCTCCGACAAGGGTAAGTTCTTCTCTCCTTTCTTTTTCCTTTCTTTGTCTACTGATTATTGTGGATCGTTGCATGTATTTGTTCGGAGCTTCCGTCCTTGCTCTCAATTTTTGTTTTTTTCGTATGTTGCTCCCTGTTTCTCGCTCTCTCATTTTTGTTTTTCTTTGTAGGTTCGGTGGCCTTTTATAGGCCTTGGAACTCGGTCGCAATGATGAAATCTACCCGGTGAGTAATTGGATCTACGGTGATGACTTACCCTAGGGACGATGAGTTGTGCGGCTATCTTTCATCTTCTATATCTTCCGTTGAGGCAGTGGTGGCGTGGTAGCGGCTGGTTAAAGCAGTTGGAGGCGGCGGCCGAAATAGCCCTAGGGTGTTAATGATATCCTATGGTTTCTGCTCGATTAATCTGGGTCATTGGATCTCTCCAGATCCAACAATTGTGGAAGAGCGACGGTTGGAGAAAATGAGAAAACCCTAGCTTGCTGGGTTCTAGGCTTCTGGATCGGGTTTGGCCTCCTTGAATCGGTATGGGTGTATTGGGTTTTGGCTGTAGTTGGGCCCCAAGTAAGATTTGTAAATGGGCTCCCAATTTGCTTATTTGTATTTAGGCCTGTAACAATAATTTTAAATATTAAGTATATAATAATAATACTTATAGTAATAATAATAATATAATAATAATTATATAAAAACGTAAGCTCGGACGAAAATGATTGTTGACAAATTGGTTCGTATCATATGGATTCTTTGTAGACATTTAAATAATTTATCAAATTATACCTTTTCACATCGAGTTATTCATAAAATTAATTTCCACCTACTTATTAATTTAAATATGTTCATTTAGTCAGAATAATGATTAATTTAATAAATTTTTATTAAAATTTGCAAACGTTCCTTTATTCATTTTAAGTAATTTATTATAAATAGACCAACCTAATTAAAATATAAATTTATAAGTAACTTAAAGTTTAATATATCACCTTTTTTCACATCGAATTCTTCATAAAATTAATATCCGTTTACATATTAATTTAAATCAATGAAATTAATTAGAATAATGATCAATTTCAATATATTTTAATTAATTTTGCAAACGTTTCTTGAACATAAAGTAATTAATTATAGAAACAGCGACCAAATTTGAATATAAATTCATAGGTGACTTAAAGTTTAATATATCATTTTAAATGATTGAATGGAAACTTTTGAACTATAGAAATACAAGTCTAATAATTAGGTATAGATGTAAGGATTTATATTAAAGATATATATATATTAAAATATAAAACTAAAATAAATTATTTATATATATATATATATGATCGCAGGTTGTCTATCGTTATGCAACAAGTCGAGGTGGGAGTGAAACATGGGGCTTTATTATATAAAAAACCCTATAAAATTATTTATTGGATCAATATCTCTTATATAAGTTTTTTTGTTGTTGGAAAAATATCCTCAAATTGTCCACGTAAGATGTTCTCATGTTCTACAAAAAGTAATGTCATACCTTACATTTTACGAAAAAATAAGTTTTATACATTTATTTATTGTCTTATCTAAAAAAAAGTTATTTTATTTGAAAAGTTGATAGGTCGCGCATCTAATAAAATGCAAGGTTCATTAAACACGTTTTGTAAGACATAAAATTATCTTACGCGTGTAATTTGGGAGTATTTTTCTAAAAAGAAAAACCCTATTTGGGAGGTATTGGTTCAATAAATAAATTTTAAGGGTTTTTTTTAAATAATAATGCCGAAACACGGGAGTTTTAGTGTAAATGTTGACCAATGTTCTCCGACACGTTCCCGCTGCCTACGTCACTTGCCAATACATCACTCGGAACTAAAACTCCCTGATTCGTCAAAATTATTAAAATATTATGCACCATCTAAATAGTGTTTGTATTTTTCCTTTTGATGCCCTATTGTCTTTTCTCCTATCTTTCGCTCAAGTGACGTTTGGTTCGTAGGAATCCCTTAAAATTAGGGGAAATTAGAATATAATTTCACAACTTTTTCATGTTTGGTTCAAGTTTTCAAAGGGAATTGGAATCCCTCATGAGTTCAACTTTCCATCAAATGAGGGAAAGTGAATTCTATCCATTCTATGATGGAATTCAATTCCCTTGTTAGAGGGAATGTAAAATTTGACCATACTACCCTCATCAATCTTTTGATAACTTATTAACATATTTTTATTGGGATTAGGGATGGCCACTCAACTCGGACCCGACGAGTTCCGACCCGATCGGGTCGTATTTTTTTAAAAAAAAATTCAGGTTCAGGTCGAGTCGGGTTTGGGTTTAGGGTGAAGAATACCCGACCCGACCCGACCCGAAAAAATATATAATTTTACCTTATATATTTATGAATAATTACAATAATACCACTCTATATATAATATTTTTCAATTAAATCACTGTTTTTATTGAATAAAAATATTTTTTTATTATTTCGGGTCGAGTCGGGTTTCTAATTCATATATTCGGGTCGGGTCGGGTGAAACTTTAATTTAGTCGGGTCGGGTTGGTTTTTTAAGTGTGATATTCGGGTCGGGTCGATCGGGTTGGGTTCGGGTTCGGGTTTAGGGTGAAAAATACCCAACCCGACCTGACCCGAAAAAATATATAATATTATCTTATATATTTAGGAATAATTACAATAATACCCCTCTATATATAATTTTTTTCAATTAAGTCATTATTTTTATTGAATAAAAATATTTTTTTTATTATTTCAGGTCGGGTCGGGTTTCTAATTCATATATTCGGGTCGGGTTTGGTCTCGGATGGAGGTTCCCTTGTTCTTGGGTCAGGTCGAGTGGACCAAAAACCCGACCCAACCCAACCCATGGCCATCCCTAATCGGGTTGGTTTTTTAAGTGTGATATTCGGGTCGGGTCAGATCGGGTCGGGTTCAGGTTTAGGGTGAAAAATACCCAACCTGACCCGACCCGAAAAAATATATAATATTACCTTATATATTTAGGAATAATTACAATAATATCCCTCTATATATAATTTTTTTTCAAATAAGTCATTGTTTTTATTGAATAAAAATATTTTTTTTATTTCAGGTCGGGTCGGGTTTCTAATTCATATATTCGGGTCGGGTTGGGTCTCGGATGGAGGTTCCCTTGTTCTCGGGTCAGGTCGGGTGGACCAAAAACCCGACCCAACCTAACCCATGGTCATCCCTAATTGGGATGATTTTAACTTATAATGTTTATTAACATGATTTTTATAATTTATTGAAATGAATAATCAATCAATAAAATTAAAATTTAATATTTTTTAAATTTTTATAATATATTGCTACATGTAATTTATAAAACAAACTAAAATTAAGCAAAAAAGAAGAAGGACAATCATGTCATTTTACATTACTGAAATCAAATTCATCCGCCATGTCTGCGAACCAAACAAAATATGGAATTGGATTCCAATTCAATTTCCTACCAACCAAACAGAATATGGAATTAGATTCCAATTCCTCACAGATTTCAATTCCTGACAGATTTCAATTCCTTCACAGATTTCAATTCCCTAAAAAACATTCCAGTGAATCAAATGTCACCTCAGTGTTTGGAGTTTCTATGCTCTCTCGTTTAAATACAGAATTATTTTAAAATTAATTCATGATACAAAATTAATTACACAATATTTTTTTAATTATACAAAAATTCATGATTATTGAATGAATAAAAATAAATGTCTAGATTAACTGTAAGAAATGAAAGTATATTCAATAAAAAATTACATTTATAAATGAATTATAATCCTTAATTTATTATTTAAATCGAGTTTATTATTAAAATTGTTCAAATTAGAATAAGATTTAAATAACATTATCCGTGGAATAATTAGAATAAATATTCAAATTTAACAAGTTAAAAGAAATCAAAATATTTAAAAAAAAATAGAATCATATTTGAAAAGTCATTTAATAATTAGATTTTTATATAATTAGTGTGACATTTAAACAACTGTTATATTTCGAGTTCAATTCTATAAGATTGACTAATTTCACCTACACTATTCAATTCTTTGTGAAGGGATGAGAATTAGTGTAATTATACGAATAATTATCATTTAATTTTATAATTAATATTGCTTTAAAATTTAAAAATATTGTTGTTATGTAGTTATAAATTTATATTATCGAACATTATATAAAAATTAAGATAATAATTAATAAAATAGTAATTATACTTTTCAATTTTAAAACATTTTATTGCTGAAATATATTTTTAAAATAAAATTTTATGTAATTACATAAGGGTATAATTAATAGGATAATTATATTTTTCAGGCAAATAAACGACGGTGATCGAGTTAAATGGTAGACTTGGTGTTTAAATTTAAATTTATAAAATTGAAATCTAAAATAATAAATATATTCATTAAAAATGGATTTGCTTCTAGGTGTGGCGTATGATACATCCTTTCGCATAATAGTAGACTCGGTTCTTACAAGACCAGGTCTCCGGTCCACACTCAGATACTCCATCAAACCGCGTTTTTCTTTTTCCACCAATGGTCTATTTTCTCCAATATTTTGCCCTTGTTTAAGCCTCCTTCCTTCACCCTTCAGAACGCCATAAAATCTCTTTGTATTTCCAAAATCCCACCATGAAATTCTTCTCAAAACAACTCTCATGGGTTTTTTCTTTTGTAAATTCCACCTCTTTCCTCTATTCATATTGTCATTTCTCTGTTTTGCTTGCTTCAGCTCTTCTCTGTCCACCGTTTCCATCTCTGAAACTTCGAACCTCACAATTGTATGCGCTTTAGTACACACCAATGGCGGCCTTCAGCCGTCTCCTCTCAATTGTTCTAGCTTTCCAGTTCATGGTATCCAAACCCCATTTAATCCCAACTATTTGTTTTCTGGGATTGTCTCTGGGGATGGATTCGTATGTGGTTTGAGGCCTCTTTTTTCACCATCCAATGTTTCAGTCATGCATTGTTGGAGATTTTCTAGCAATGGTTCTTTTTTAGATTTAAAAAGGATTTACAAGGGTCCAGCCCTCAACCAGCTTGAAGCAGGCAACACTCATATCTGTGGCCTTAATGATACCAACGGTCTTGAATGTTGGCAATGGCCTGGATTTAATCAAACGGGTGGTGTGCAATTTTTTTCCGAAATAGCTGTCGGTGAAGGATTTGTATGCGGGTTAACAGAAGATCAAAAGGCGATCAGATTCATCGGGAACTTTGCTGGTATCACTGGTCGAGAGATTAGAGGGAATTATAAAAAGATTGCTGCTGGATTTAAACATGCTTGTGCCATCAATTCGGATGATGGTTTAGAGTGTTGGGGAAACGGTATGGGTGATCGTGATCTGCCTCAGGGACAGTTCAAAGAACTGGCTCTGGGGTTGAATCGAAGTTGTGCTTTGAGGACTAATGGAACAGTTGTTTGTTGGGGGATGGACAGTTTCAGGTTGCCACAAGAATTGGAAACTCTTGATTTCATCACAATCAAAGCAAAAACCAATGTTTTTTGTGGAGTTTCAACATCGAATTATTCTCTATTTTGTTGGGGTCACCGTAATTTCGATCAAAATCATATGGTGTTCTCAGAGGTTTTCCCAGGTCCATGTAGGAATGTATGTCAATGTGGTTCATTGCAAGGTTCGGGCTTGCTTTGCAGCACTGGTGGGTCAATTTGCCAAGCTTGTCCGGTGGCAGCCATTCCATCTGCTCCTCCACCCCAACCTGAAAGCAGATCCTCAAACAGTGGTTTGAATGGAAGATTGATAGCTTTTCTAGTTGTTGGTTGTGTTGGATCCTCCGTTTTCTTGCTACACGTTGGTTTCTTTGTGTTCAGATATTGCAAAGACAGAGGGTGTCGTGTCCATGATTCTGGTCGGCTGGATGAGACCGGTGCCCCTGCAAATGGTGGTTCGGGTTCGAATCAAACTCCTCAAGGCCCACCGGCTGTCCTCGAGAAGCGACTGAGCCAATTGACCAGCATGGGAACTATGGGTCGCTTGGAGGAGTTTTCCTTTGAAGCCCTGGTTCAGGCCACCAACAATTTCTCCGACGATCATAAGATTGGTACGGGTAGCTTTGGTTCAGTCTATCATGGTACACTGGACGACGGGCGTGAAGTGGCCATCAAACGAGCCGAAATTACTAGCTCTTCATCATATGTGATCGGCCCCAGACGTCAAGAAGATAAAGACGATGCCTTCGTGAACGAGCTTGAGTATTTGTCCCGTGTTCACCACAAAAACCTTGTCCAACTATTGGGATTTTGTGAGGACTCGAACGAGCGTATACTTGTCTACGAATATATGAACAATGGCACACTCTATGACCATCTCCACAAGTTCGAAAATTCGTTGTCAATGTCATGGGCTATACGGCTCAAGATCGCATTAGACACAGCAAGAGGGATCCAATACCTGCACGAGTATGCAGTTCCGCAGATCATACACCGTGATATCAAGTCTGCCAACATTCTTCTCGATACAAACTGGACTGCAAAAGTATCGGATTTCGGATTATCATTGATGGGTCCCGGAGATGATGAATCACACCTTTCACTTCGTGCAGCGGGCACAGTCGGATACATGGATCCCGAATACTACAGGCTTCAACAGCTGACCACCAAGAGTGATGTTTACAGTTTTGGCATAGTCTTGCTCGAATTGTTATCCGGATACAGAGCGATCCATCGGAACGAAAATGGGGCACATCGAAATGTGGTCGATTTTTTGGTTCCGTATGTTCTTCGAGACGAAATTCACAGGGTTCTCGACCCGAGAGTACCGCCACCAACCCCTTTTGAGATCGAGGCCGTTGCGTATGTAGGATATTTAGCGGCTGATTGTGTGAGGCTGGAAGGCCGAGACAGGCCTTCAATGACTGAGATTGTAAATAGCTTAGAGAAGGCATTAACGGCCTGTTTAATTCCCCATGATTTCTCTCGGTCCACTACTCAATCTTCCACTGAGCGGACAAATTTTGTACAGTAAACAGCATAGTTTTTTACTCAATTCATTTCCCTTCTACTTTATTTCCCTCCCGATTTGTTATTTGAAGCAAAATGTGTATTATATTAGGTTGGCTTACCTACCAATATTGTGAAGAGAAAATTATCATTTAAATTTGAAATTTGGGTCGGTCGGTATTGATTATTTTCACTGATAAAACAACATCTTTATTTAAATTTTATTATAATAATACTCTTTAATAATATTAAAAAAGTAAAAAAAATATACATATATCATTATTTAATTCATTAAATGTGTGAGCATCATTATCCAAAATTTTAATTTAAATATATGCTAAATTTTTATATTTTAAATTAAATAATTAATCCCTCTCCAAGTCCAACTAGTAATGTATAAAGCATAACTATGACTTAATTATAATAAATTAAGAGTCGAGACCTAAGGAACCTTCTTTTGTCCCACAGTTGTAATTTTCATTGTAAAAGAGACAGTTTATATAATTATTTTGTAATAAAATTGAAGAAGCTAGATTAGAGGTTTGACAAAGTCATTACGATTGTTTGTTTCAACAAGGTTTGGTTTTGAATTTTCGCCCACAAAGACTCGAAGTGCAAGGTCAGACCAAAATATATACATATATGTTTTTTAACATTTAAAAAACGCATGCATTGTTTCTGGTTATAGAAAAAAAACAATCGACCCGAAACCAGTTTACACGGTTAGACCGGTTTTAGATTTGTAAGTGGAAACGAGACGTTCAATTATTCAAAAACTTTAGCGTCGTTATTATCATGACTTCATGGCCATTAACTGGTTATTCATGCATTAACTAAATTAGGTATATCTAGGTTTATATATGTCAAATCCTATATTATTAGTCTATTTGAAATTTACATGCTTTAATTTACGAAATTAAAATTAAAATCTACCAAACTGAAGTAGACTAGAAGGTGGAGGTACTAAAGGAACAATAGTAAGGGATGTATATTCATTTTGTAGTGGGTTAAGTAGAATAAAAAGTAACTATATCAAGGCCTTTTGTTTACCCTGTCCACTCAATCAAGTGTTGAAATCTTCTTCATCACCTAAAAATTGAATTTTTTTAATAGAAAAATATGTGTAATCAATTCATGAAAGTAAGTTAAATAGTTTTTATTTTGGATTTCAAGTGTATTTTAAAACATTACGAGTATAGGTGGTCTTCGCCATTCTCTCCTACTTTGGTATTTTGCGATTATTTTTTTTTTTCAATTGGCAACATTCAATTAAGACGTCAATTGACTTTCTATAAATTTTCTATGGTTATTGGTTAATCCTATGTATTGGAGTTAAAAGGATCTGTAGTTTCTTGGTACACGTGGCTCAAGTCGTGTGTCATCAAAGGAAGGTTATTTGGGGTTTGTTAGTCTGCTGGAAGTTGTTATTCAGCACTGTTATGCAGTTAGGGTTAACTGCATGCATACATACATATATGTGTAAAGCAATGTATTCCTTCTCTAAATGGATAGAGCAATTATTGTTTAAGTTCTTTAACACCTTTTCTATAAATCCATCATGGTATCATTCGCTACTGGTCTTTGGGCTCCTGACTTGACTTTCGTTGCTTCAACTCTCGGTGATCTGCGATTTGGAAGTTGCTCATGGATCTCTCATCTAACAGTGCCAAGGGCTTCACGAACAAGAAGGTCAATGTCCTTCTTGATGAAATAAATTTTTTTACTTTAGAAGCAGCAGATTCTACTCACAGTTCGTAGTCATCATCTCGAACGACTCCTGAATGGCATTGTTGATCCTCCGCCGCAAATAGTTGTTGATGAGAGTGGTGTGGCAAGTCCGAATGAAGCGTATGAGAATTTTTTTTGCACAGGACAGTGTTCTTGTCTCTTGGTTGTTGTCTACAATCAATGTTCATCTCCTTCCTCAGTTTGTGGAGGCTGAAACTACGACTGCGGCTTGGAACACAGTGCTTCAATTCTTTGCCAATCAGTCCACGGTGATGGTTACAAGCCTCCATTATAAGCTTCATTCGTTGAAGAAAGGAAGTGATAGCATGTGTGTTTACCTCACGCGGGTAAAGGAAGTTTGTGATGCACTTGCATCTTGTGAAAGTGCAATTCATCATGTCGAACGCATCGCCAATATCCTGAAAGGATTACCTAAGGAGTACTAACCGTTTGTGGCTGTTATAATAACCATGTAAGAAACTTTGTCTTTAGATAAGATCTATATCATGCTTTTAGATGCTGAAACACAATTGGTTGGGTTTTATGAACAACGATGAGTGTTAATCTTGCTCAAGGGGAAATTACACGAGGCATCTCATCGTCTAATCGATAGGATCACAGATCGGTACAATCTTCTGGATCCAAGAATGGGGGTTATGGACGAGGACGAACGCATGTTCAATGTCAACTCTATGGAAAGCTTGGCCACTTAATTGATCGGTGATGGCATCATTATGGTTAAAGTTTTTCTTGTGTTACCATTGACAATCGTGGATAGTATAAAAGGGAAGATGCGTATCCTATTATTTAATATTCCTCCGCTGAGAATACAAATCTAGGTTGTGGGTGTTGTGTTAAGGGTCGATCGGGTTCTTTGGTTACTGTGTAGCCTCAAGCTAATGTTGTAACTGCAACGTCTGATTATTGGGTGGTGGATTCAGGCGCGACTCATCATGTCATGACTGATGCCACAAGGGTGATGAATTAAACTAAGTTTCATGGTCCAGGAAAACTAACTATCACTAATGGTATGCCTCTTGATATTCATTTGGTTGGTAGTTCAATTATTCATTCTTCTTTACGAGCTCTTTTATTGAGTGATTTATTGTGTGTGTCACAAATAATAAAGAACTCACTCATTGTCTCGAAGTTTGCTAGGGATAATGATGTATTCCTTAAATTCCATGCCAATCAGTGTTGTGTTTGAGATGAAGTTTCTGGTTGTGTTTTACTTCAGGGGGAAGAAATGGTTGGTTTCTACTCTTTCGTGATGAACAATAAGGATGAAGGTGGCAGTTCTGCTGAAGCCAATCTTACTGTTAATTCTTTTATTTTCATCTTTGGAGAAGCTATGGCATAGATTCTTAGAAAATCTAGCTTGAGATGCTTAAGGCAAAATTGCTAATGAAATTGGCGTAAAAAGTGTTTCTAATATAAATAAAACGTGTTTTGCTTGCCATATGGACAAAATTCACAGATTACCTTTTATGCAATATACTACTAAGTATTAGACCATTTAAGCTTATTTACACTAACTTATAGGGACCTCCACATGTGTTCTCTAGTGGCTACCGCTTATATGTTACGTTTGTGGATGAATACTCTAAACACACCTGCTTTACCTGTTGAAGAATAAGTCTCAAGCTCTTGTTGCCTTTCAATTGTTCTAGAAAATTGTGTCTACTCAGTTTGGGTTGTCTATTAAGGCATTTTAAAGTAACTAGGGAGGGGAGTTTTACAGCCTGTCTTCAGTTTTAGCTAAGGATGGAATAACCCACAGATTGATATGTCCACATGTATATGAAAAGAACAACATAGTTGAGCGTAAACATGGTCGCATGTTGTAGTTGATTTAGTTCATCTCATCAACAGACTCCTACCAAGGTGTTACAAGAAGTATTACCATTCGAGAAACTATTTGAAAAGAAACCTGACTACAGTTCAATGAGTGTATTCAGATATCAATGTTTCCCACATTTAAGGCCCTTTCAAAATCATAAGTTGGCCTTTAGGTCACAACCATGTACTTATCTGGGAGTCAGTCCTCAACATAAAGGATTTGAATTCATTGCTATCAATAGTCGAGTATAGATATCTCAACACGTTGTGTTTGATGAGGAGGTGTTCCCATTTACAAAATAAAAGGCTAGAGTGTTGATGCTATGTAAGATGATATAGCAATCACGCAAGTATATGTATCGTTCAAGTAATAAAATGGAAACTATAAAAGCTTCGGATGTCGAACCCACAAAGAGCAAGAAATTACAACTTAGAATTGTTAACTTTGAATATTAAAAGGTAAATGTTGTGATTGTGTGGTAACACAGATATAGCAAAGGTATTAAAAACATGATAGAAATAGCAGGCAGTGCTACAGTATAGTGAGAGTAATATGTCAAGGATCGAATGGATAAGGAAGATATTTGCCAGCTTCCATTACAAGTATATCATAAACAAAATGTTTATGCATTTAGTAATGATTAATATTATTTAAAAGACATAAATCAACTTTCATTGACTCAATCTATTAAACTATTATCAATGCTAGATTTTGGGTATCATATATCTCACATAAAAACTTGCTTTTCGACAAACCAAGGCTGAACAAAAGTAGTATATTTATTAATGATTTTCATTTCAAACTATCATCAATAAACATACATGAAGATAATTATATTTCTTTAACTATCTTTGAAAGTGTAGCAACATATAAAATAAAGTCTTAACATAAACGTAATTATAAGCATTAAACAAACAGCTAAGTTCATAACCCAAAATATAATCCTTAGAAATTAAATAACATTCAAATCTACATGCTAATTCCCTATCTCAAAAGAAGAGCGAGAGTAGAAAAGGAATCTTCTTAACCACCAATGCTAGTCGGCAAAGCTCTTACGTTGCTGCAACACTCCCCAATAGATTCAAACATCCATGGTCGGTGGAGGAAAGAAGAAAAAAAATGGAAATGAAGAAAGTTTGACAAAAAAGAGTCCAAAATGTGAAGGGAGACCCTATTTATAAGCCCAACACGTCAAATCATTCTCCAATAGGAAAAAAATATGATTTTTCCTATATTTTCTAGCCATTTTACAACTGTATTTGATAGCTGTTCAAATCTAAAAAATTCCATAATTGTCTGTTGAGTCACCAATTGTTACAGCATCAGCATGATAGAATCGTGTCACAACATCACCTATAGCTTCAAGCAATGCCACAACATCAACGTACTGATTTATAGCATAAAACATTAAAATCAAGCCAACTTACCAACTCACTCCCATGATGCAAATAATGAAAAATATATAAAAATGATCCTAATATGACCCTAATGATACTAAAGTTCAAGTTCAATCTAGGTAAAAAGATCCTAAATAACAACTCTTTTAGAGAGTTATCACACTCCCAAACCTAAGTGTTTGCTTGTTCTCAAGCAACAACATGCCTGAAATGTAACTACTTCTAAATAATAACTCTTTGTTGGCTACATAGTCCAAGACAATGTAGTCTGTTGGAAAGATGAATTTGTCCACTTGTACTAGCACATTGTTTATTTTTCATTTGGGATGAGCAATAGAATGGTCAGTAAATTGTAATGCGACAGTGGTGGGTGTGTCTTTAATCCCAAATTTCCTGAAAATAGACAAGGGCATTAAATTAATGTTGTAACCCAAATCACACAATGCTTTAGCAATGAATTGATCGCCAATAGTGCAAAAAATAGTAAATCTCCCTGGATTTTTTAACTTCAGTGGCAATCTGCTCGTGACCATGGCACTCTACCCTTCAGTGAGTGTAACAGTTTCGAACTCGCCAATACTACATTTCTTTGTAAGCACATCTTTCATGAATTTGGCATAGTTCGACAATTGTTCCAATGCATCAATCAAAGGGATATTGATCCTTAATTGCTTGAGCACATAAAAGGACTTCTTAAATTGTTGGTTCTCATTAGCATTTTGGAATCGTTGAGGGAATGGAGGTGGTGGCCTTCTTTTAGGTTGCTTTGACAATTGTTGTGGCATTGTAGGTGGCAGTGTTGTTAGCATTGTTGGTGGCAATAGCTTAAAATTGTTGCATTGTTCTACGTCATTTGATGTGAAATTCGTTTTTGTTATATCAAAAAGGGGGAGATTGTTGAACTATATTTTGATATAACAATTTAAGACAAAATGTTTTTGGACTTGAATTGAATTTATTCAAAGTTATTAAAAATAATTCAAAGTCCTTAAAAGTGGATTTGAGCACAAAATGATTTTCACGTACAAGAAGTACTAATATTGTTCTTACAATATCGAAACCTCATGAACAGTACTGATACTGTTCATATGGTACCGATACCAAAGGTAAGGGAAGTATCGATACTCACTAGCTAGTATCGATACTACCAGCAATGCTTAAATTCTAGAATGCAAAAATGGTATCGATACTACTTTGTATAGTAGTGTCGATACCTTATGCATAGTATCGATACCATCAGGCCCCAACTACTAGTAACGACTAGTTGATTTAAAAATAACAAAGGTAATACCGATTCTCCCTTTAGGAGTACTGATACTCCCTTTAGGAGTATCGATACCCTCTGTACTGGGTAATTTTATTTTGCAGAGAAATCATCCCCAAATGACTAGAAATCATCCCCAAATGACTAGAAATCATCCCCAACGTCTATAAACGGCCACAACTTCATTCCAAAATATAAATACAAGTTTAAGACACTTGAAGAAGGGTTAGAACACTTATCCAAGCAATCAAACACAAGAGAAGAGTTTTCCAATCTTATTTTCATCTCTCTTATAAATATTTGTGTTTTTAGTGAACTAAATTTGTAAACACCTATCTTAGAGAGGTTTCCTTGTTTACTTCTTTTATCCTTTTGTAAAGGGGTTTTGGTTCTATCTTAGCCAACTAAAAAAATAGGGAGTTTGTAAAGGTTACTCTTGATCCTTGAAAAAGAAAGAACAAATTAGTGAATTTGTTAGAAAATCCTTAGTGAGGAGCTAAGGTAGCAGAGGTAGACTTAGTTAAGAAGTTGAACCACTATAAATCTCTGTGCAAAAGTTTCTATCTTTTTCTTTCTCCTTACTCCCTAAATAAGTTTTACCAATTTACCCCTCTTGTAACTTTTTCGGTTGTTCAAATTGAGCATCTTCGATCCTAATAGTATCCAATGCTGGAAATAATGCATCGGACATTAGCGCAACAATTCTTTAAATCGTTCGCATGCTTTATACAAGATCTCATCCTCCAACTTCTTAAAAGATGTGATGTCATTCCTCAATTTAACAGTCATGCTGGGATGATTGAAACATAACAAAATTTTTGTGCTAAATCATTCCAGGATGTAGCACCAGGTGGCAGCGAGTTAAGCCAGGCTCTAGCACTCTCACAGAGCGAGTAGGGAAATAATTTTAGCTTCAATGCTTCTACAGGGACTCCTTGATGTATGAAAGAATCGTACACTTCTATAAATGCTCGCAAATGTGCTTGAGGGTCCTTGTTGTGCATCCCACTATATTACCAAATTAACTCCAGAATTTGGAACATCACTAGCTGCAACTCGAAGTTTGCAGCACAGATGTCAGGCCTCACGATGCTATGATATAGATCATCCATTGCTGGCACAATATACTCTCATATTGGCTTGTTGTTGTCATCGATGTTGTAGCAATGTTGTTGTATCAAAATATTTTGAAAATCTGGAGCATCATACCGAGTCATGTTTGGTTGCTGTTGATTTTATTGCCTCCTTCGATGGATAGTTCAAATGTTTCTAAGTCCTGGATGTTGTTGTGAGTAAAGCTCCAGCAATGTTTTGCTAAAAAAAATTGTATCTACAAAAAAATAACAAAGTTAATGAAATCAAAGAAAACAATTCTAATGTAATACCATTGCTCCCCAGCAATGGTGCAAAAACTTGATGCTACATAAGATGCTATAAAAATCACGCAAGTATATGTATTGTTCAAGTAATAAAGTGGAAGCTATAAAAGCTTCGAATGTCGAACCCATAGAGAGCAATAAATTACATCTTAGAATTGTTAACTTTGAATATTAAAAGGTAAATGATGTGATTGTGTGGTAACAGAGATATAGCAAAGGTATTAAAAACATGATAGAAATGACAGACAATGTTACAACCTAGTGAGAGCAATATGTAAAGTATTGAATGGATTAGGAAGATATTTGACAACTTCTATTATGATCATAAACATGTTTATGCCTAATTAATTCTATCTAAACTAATTAATAAGTTTAGATATTGGGCATCATACATCTCACATGCGAACTTGTTTTTTTGGCAAACCAAGGCTGAACAAAAGTGTAGTGGCACATAAAATAAAGTCATAACATAAACATAATTAAAATAATTAAACAAACAACTAAGTTCATAACCCAAAATATCATCCTTAGAAATTAAATAACCTTCAAATATGCTTTTCTATCTCAAAATAAGAGCGAAAGTAGAAAAAGAATCTTCTTAGTCACCGATGCTAGTCGACAAAGCTCTTACGCTACTATATCAATCCCCAATATATTCAAACCTCTATGGTTGGTGGAGGAAAGAAGAAAAATAAATGAAAATGAAGAAAGTTTAAAGAAGAGGTGTCAAAAGTGTGAAGCGAGACCCAATTTATAATCCCAACAAGTCAAAGCATCCTCCAATAGTAAAAATATGATTTTCCTATATTTTCCATCTATTTTATAGTTGTATTGGACAGTTTTCCAAATTAAAAAAAAATCATAACTTTCTGTTGTCACCAGTTGCTATAGCATCACTTATGGTTTAAAGCAATGCCACATCATTTGCATTCCGATTTACAGCATAAAATATTAAAATCAAGACACCTTCCACCAACTCACTCCCATGATGCAAGTGATGAAAAATATATAAAAATGATCCTAATATGAACCTAATGATACTAAATTTCAAGCTCAACCTAGGTAAAAAGATCATAAATAATAACTCTTTTAGAGAGTTATCAAGTGCCACCACATGTGGTAAAATCTCAACAGTCTCAGGCTATAAGAATTATTGTTGACCTTATATGATTGTAAAAACAGGAAGGGCATTGTGAAGAGGGAAGTACTAGTTCTAGGAGTAGCACCTTTGATGTTACACCATGTTTTCAACAGGAACAAAGTCCCTTTAATAGTGCTAATATGCCTAATTTGGTGAATGAGTTAGCTGGTAATGAGGGTGCATATCCTACAAGTCGTGGTGTACCTATAACTCATAAGATAAATATACATGAAGTTTCAAGTGGAGGCAAAGATGAAAATATCAATGTCGTACCTATGGACAATTTAGCTAATCAACGTGTCACCCGATGATGAACAATAAGTAAACATAGAATTTTTAAACCTAAAGCTTACACTAGTTACTTTGAAGATGAGGTTCCAACCACTATTTATGAAGCCTCTCAATCAGTAAATTGTAAAACAACTGTTCAAGATGACTTATATGCCTTGTAAAGAAATGGTGGCTGGTCCTTGGTTTGGTTGCCTAAAGGAAGAGTTGATTTGGGTTGCAAATGACTGTTCAAACTAAAGCGCACTCGCAATGGTTCAGTACATAGGTACAAGGCTCGGTAGGTTGTTGATGCTTCAAAAACATTATAACATACAACTCAAGTGCACTTATCGCAAATCAAGTAGTAAAGTGGAAACTTCAAGAGTTTCGGAGTCAAACCTATAGGGAGCAAAATGTTTATATTAGATTTTTTGACAATAAGATGAATTAAAAGAGTAATATGCTAAATAGAAAGAAAAAAAATTAATAATGAAATATATCAGTTCATGCTACAACATTTTAGGAAGCAAATTGTCAGCTATCAAATGAACGAATATGTTATTATTATTCCCAAATTCTATACAAGCGTTGAATACTTAATCTATGTAATATGCATTGATTAAATCCATTTGAAATACTCTAATGATTTTCATCAATTAAAGATTCAAACCATTAACAATACTAATCAATTGGTTGTACACTTTCCAATGTACCTATGCTACTCAACAACACCAATGCTCATACAAGTATATAGCAACTCGAATAAAACTACTTCTAGATTTAAATGAAAATACTATATATGTAATTACAAATATTTCTACTTGTGATCATGAAGTTCAAAGCTCAAAAACCAAATAGAAGTATTGAACGGTTACCCGCTAACCCTGAAGCTCTTCAACGAGCTTCTTTTTTTTATGTAAGAATCCTTGACAGAGGATTTAAGTGCCCATGGCTCGAAAAGAAATAACATGGAAATTTTAATTTTTATCTCTCTATATCCTCCCTCTTTTTGCACCCAAGTATTCCCTTTTTATAGATTGAATGAAAATCTCATTGCCCAATAGGATAAATCCACGTTTCAGGTGTTATCTGGCCATATGACAACTACCATTGCCAGCTATCCCAATCCAGAAGGTTCTTCTAACTATATGGAGTTTAAACAATCGCTACAACATCTGATCAGCATTTTCTGCATCGCTCCAGCATCAGTGCAACAGTTTGCAGCACAAAAATCAAGCTAGCTCTTAACAACCCACTATGCTCCTAATAACCCACTATGCTCCTAACATGCAAAATATATAGAATCGATTAATTTTAATCCTAAATATGCTTAAGTTCAAACTAAACATAGGTAATTAAGGCCACTAAAGATAACTCTTTTGGAGAGTTATCACACCCCAAACCTAAGTATTTGCTTGTCCTCAAGCAAAACATACATGAAACACCTAAACTAACATCAATTTCACATAATAACTAAGAAAAATTAACAAAGTAGCAAAGTTTCTTTTTCGGCCCTCAGAGACTGTTATCAAGCATATATGTAATCTCAAGTAAGAAAATATCATGTCATCCCCTCAAATTCAGAATCCTCAGAGTGCAGTGTATGAAATATATGTGTATCCAATCAATACTTAGCTAAGTTAAAAAATTCTGCTATGTTAAAGGTATTCAATGCTACATCAATATTTCCTCACCAATGTTGGAATTATAACTTATTTCTCTCATTATATTGGAGCTAGTACCAACATTACCCAAGTTATTTCCTAAGTCTATGTTGGAGCTATTACCAGCATTACCAAACCTATTTCCTAAGTCTCTCTATCTTTTTTAGCATGAAAATTGCTATAGCATCTAATAAAGATAAGAGATTTACAGCTTGAAAGTTTCTAAATTCTCTAAGTATTGAAAACATACACCTATGTGTAAAAGAAAAATATAAAGATCCTTAATTCGAAGGGTTTCTACAAAATTTCCTATAGCATTTCATTCCAATTAATATTCATCACTGGACATCATCAAAATATCCTAAACTACTTCATTGATTTTTCAAAATTATCTTAAGGCATTACCAATGCAATTTATATGCAAAATATGTTCCTAACTACAACACTTGAACCTATCAACACACCCCCAAACCTAAGGGATGCATTATCCCTAATACATGCAACAAAAACAAAACAAAACAAAATAAAACAAACTAAAATAGGAGAAAGGGAAGAAACACTGCCCTAAGTGGGCTTTCTTAGGTTTTTCCTTAGGCTAATAACGTTCGGGAAGAATCGCTTTATTGTTGTCTTTGCTTTCACCGAGCTCTTTCTCTTTTGACTGGTCGACGCTGTTGAGGCTTTCGTCATAGCAGACTTGTTGAGTTAATCGATCGATGGAATTGGCCAAGATGGGGGTGAATTGGTAATTAAAATTTTGGTGGAAACTTTTGTAGAAAATTGAAAAGATTTGCACAGCGATTTAGAGTGGTTCGACTTTCTCAACCAAAGTCTACGTCCACTACCTTAGCTATCCACACTAAGGATTTTTCAACAAATTCACTAATTTGTTCTTTCTTTTGAGGCCAAAGAGATAACCTTACAACTCCCTCAAGAATATACCCCAATTCTTGAGAACACTCTTTCTCAAAGAGAAATTACAAATTTGCAAACTTACAAGGAAATCCTCACAAGGTAGATTGTTTGCACAATTCTAGAACAAAGAAAAGAACACTAAAAAATGAATACAATTGAATACAAGTAGTGTTCTTGAAAGCAAAATAAATATTGAATAAAAAATAGGCTTGAAATGCTCAAACTTGAGGTTTGATGCTTTCTCTTTGATTCTCTCTTGATTCTTGTTTCTTGTGTTTTCTTGTTGTTGATCAATGGCTTCTAAGATTGTTTAAATACACCTTCAAATGATTCTGAACTTTGGGGATGATTAGTGGAGTCAATAAAGCAGTTTTAGTGTGAAATCAATTAATAAAATAGCTTGGAGCGTGG